GTGACATAATCAGGTAGCGAGGCATATTTAGTGCTTAATTACACAATGTGTTGCACAATGACCATTCAACATGATAATTCAGCTCCTGAAGGGGAATGGCTCCGCACTGATAACTGAGATGGGAATGGTGTAATAGCATATAGTTGGCAGATGAGGCCTGGGTTGAGAAACCCAGCAATTGCATTTCTCCAGACAGCTCTGTGACTGCTCATTATTCTAATTGCAAAGTATGCTACAGTACAGGATACACACAGAGCCAGAGCATCCTTTGAGCTTGAACATGGAGGAAACCTCTTTAGGCTGTGTTGAGTCAATCAATGCTCACTCATTACAAACATCACAAAGTCATGTTCTTGTCGCCTGGATGGTCTCACCCGCCGACAGTGAAAATAACCTCATAATCATTGTTCTGTCACGATCAGGATCATCAGAGACCGGGCTTGAACTCTTTAACTCCCCTGCCACACTGAAATTATCTTGATATGAGATGAGGATTTATTTTCACATGAACAATTTCACAAATTATTTATTTATAATTAATTTATATAATTTTTCTAGTTTTCATCTTTGGACCAGGATAATAAACATACAGTTGCATCTTAATGGCAGCTTTAAGACATTTATATCTATTTAAGACCAACATATTTACTTTTAAGATATAAACCAGCAACACATAAAGTAACTTCACATTAGTCTGGGCCGAAGGACTGCTTCTTCTCAACCCAAATTCATTTGGGATTAACAGAGTTAACGAAGGCGGTGTTGTGAACAATACTGCACCCGTGCAGCCACTAATTAAAGCTGCTTCTAATGAGGGCTCGTTGATTGACACAGCAGGGTTGGCCTCTCCCCTAGCCAACATCAACTATGACAGCCACATGATGAGGCTGATGACAGGCTCCCATGCAGGCAGATGACAGGACGTCACTGCGAGACCACCACCGCTCCTTGTCTCTGAACAATACTGCACTCATATCACACCACGAACTTCATCCAGTCTTGCTCTCTAGTCATATCATGGATGTTTATGCAAAGAGAAACGATTATATATTGTAATCAAGGTATTTACACATTGTATTTTGTCAGGGTTTATTCTGTTCACTTGTCCACCACCGGTGGAATAAGTACTTAAAAACCTTTACTTTAAAAAGTATCAATACAATATATAAAAATACTCAGATATAAGTAAAAGTCCTGCATTTAAAAGCTTAGCAAAAGATGAGTATGAGTACTACTTGACCCCTGTGGCTGTTAATAATAATGCATCAGTGCAAGTTGTTTTTTACAATTGTAGCTGGTCCGGGTGCAGCCAATTTCACTACTTTACATACTGTTTGGTGATTTAGTCCAGTGGTTCACAATTTAAAGGGTCAAAAGATAAATCTTGGAGAGAAGAAGAAAGGAACGAAGAGAAATCAAAGCTCTGCAGCATACATTCATCTTTGTTTTTGTGAAATATTATTTGATCTCTTTGGGCCTTGAAGTTATTTAAATGGGACCATCTGAGAAGTTTTAGAGGGGAAATCCCTTTGTTGGTACTACTTCTAACAATGCAGAACATGTGAAACCTATGACAAGATTCCACAGGTAGATTCCACAGTATAATTTTGGTTTTGTATTATATTTTTAGAAGCCTATCAGGTTTTTTTAATGGAAGAGATACGCTATCAGATAAATGTAGTGGAGTCCAATCTTCCCTATGAAATATAGTGGAGTATAAGTATGAGTAGCATAAAAGAAAAATAGTCAAGTAAAGCACAAGTACCTCAAAATTGTACAAATAAAATTAGTTACTTTCTGTCACTGATAACAACCATCAATTTAATTTACACTTAAGAAGTCAAGATCATAAAAATGTGCAGTTTAAACCCCCCCCATATATATATATATATAATTTAATGCAATACATTGATATGTGAATATGACTTCAACTTTGCAAGGGATTGCTTCAGACTGCATCCATCTAGCAACTCTTTAAAATGGGCTTGTTTCACTGCATATATTCATATATCAGTAATAGACATGAATCATGCCAAAGAGGCCTAGCTGTAGGGCATCACCAAGCCAAGTTGACAATGAGGGTGAAGTGTTTGAGTAAATCTTGCACAAGGCCCATTGGCCCCCGTGGCAGGGCCTCTCTGTGTGGGTTTGAGAAGCCCCGAGGATGACAGGTGCTTTTCGTAATGCCTAACTGATGAGAGCCAATCAGTGCGCCCCATTCTGCTGGTGTGTGTCTCTTCTCCTGTTGTTGTCATCTGGCCCGCTAAAGTAAAGATGAGCTTGACTGACAGATGCATCCGGGTTCACAGTTTATTGGTTTCTACGAGAGAGCCAGATATGCCAATTTAGACAGGGTAGTGACAAAAAAGTTCCCATCTAAATGGAATAATTTTACCACTGGGAATTCTCAGCTGTGAGAGGAAAGAGCGTTTGTGTGTATGTGTGTTGGTTTTTTTTATCTTTTAACAAGGCCTGAATGACAAACACATAGGACAGTTAGGGGGCTGACAGAAACAGAAGCTTTTGATGCTTCACGGGGGATCCATGAAATAAACAATAGGCAGAGGAAGCAGGGAAATTGAATTACAACTGGCTGGGCTTGTGTGTTTCAGAGAGTGTAGAGAGGAGGTGAGGCAGCAGCAGTGTGGTATAGCAGGATGAAACCGATGCATCATTAAATATACTGGAGTCAGAAGCTGGGGCAACGCTCTCCTGCCTTTCCAACTGTCCTCCTTCTTTGTTTCACCCTCTTTTCTCTCCCTTTCTTTTTTTTTTTTTTTTACCTTCTTTCCCCCTCTGTCCTCCACACACACAAACACACGTGTTAACATAATGCAATTGTTCTTTTTCTTGTAGACACGTGCTACTTTTAACAGGAATCATAATATAGAGGATTTCTACAGACATCCACACACCGATACACACAAACAACGCACTCTTCAGCCATCATACATTTCATATTTTAGAACTGTAACCCGTATGAGTGCCTCCTGTAGTCCTGACTGTTCATAAAACCAAACATCAATACACCAGCAGCAGGAGCGCTCCCCGGAAACCTTGAACTCTGAATCATTTTCTTATGGGGTTAATAATGAGGGGACACCAAGTCAACGACTGACATATAAAAGAATTTATTTCTCATGTGCACAAAAAGAATTGGAACATAACTGAAACAGAACAATGATTGAGGCCACAAGGCTTTCCGTATAGATTTTCATCAGAAATCCTTTTTATGTCCATGACACATCTCCTGTATCATCTTTACAACAGCAGAAGACCCATTCCATGATGGTGGCTTGCCCTTTGCGCCAGAGTTTCATTTTCAGATACGTCGAGCTACATGTAGACAGAAATAGGCAAATCCCAAGTGCAATTTGTAGAGGATTCTCCTGAAGAGCAGGACTGCAGTCTGTTTCTGTTATCCGGTGCCCTCGGCAATGACAGTTAACCCTGGTACCAGATAACGTATTTGCTTGTGTAGGATTAAAGTAAACTTCATCTTGGATGCCTTACTCTAAAGAGTTATATTGGGTTGAGAGAGTGGAGGGAGGGAGGAGAGATGGGTGACTGGGAATAAGTGCGGATGTGTTTCTATACGTGGAGGCACAGATGACTGTAATTTGGATTAACATAATTATCACAACATCTACAAACAGCAAACAGGACAATATCTTTGATTGTTGCCAAGGACTTCAGTTTGATCAGATCTTCATTTTTGGAGCAAAAGCGAAACTAGTAGAGAGAAACCATTTCACACTGGAGGTCTTTTGTATGTCTTAATTTTTATGCTGTTCTCCATGGGGATTACTTATTTTGAGCCCAACAACAAAAGATGATACAGAAAGCCATTTAACTCATTGCATAGTGACATAAAACATCATCATGACATTATCATGAAAACAAAATAAAATGTCAAAGACAACCTATGTGATGTTAGCATCTGTAACCTGCTACTGCAGTATATGTAGCCACAGGTTATACAGTAGTTGCGCCTCAGAGCACAACATTACATTAAGACACAAATGTAATGCATGTTTTTTTTCTGTCTGTATATCTACAAGGGGAGCCAGTACATTAGTATGATACTGCAATGGTGTGTGTGATATTATTTACAGAGAAGAATTGTCTTCACATTATTCACAAATTATTCTACAAAGCAGCTTTTTGTTGCAACTGATGGAATTTTGAATTGCTGAATTTCACCTTTTTCATTACACCCATATTCATTATGTTGTTTGCCTGCAGAAAAGTCACGAGATACAGGTTCAGTGTTGACTACTTATTTAAAAGATAATACTGCTTTATTTATGCATACATATACTGTAAATAAAATATTAAATATCAAACTAAGTCTTTGGCAAATGTAGTTAAAAGTACATTCACAAAATATCTTCCAAAAAGCAAACTGAATCAGTATTTCCTTTCAGTCCCTATGGAGAGTAGAGCGTAAATAGAGGAGGGTGATGAGTATGTGTTTGTAAAGGCAATTAATTTCATTGAACAGGCATGAATTTACGTTGAAAAAACAGGTTTGTAAGGCAATTGTTGAAGCTAGTTTACAGTTGGTTCACTCAACTGCATACAGCTTTCTAAACTGTGTAGGCATCTAGTGGTGTGACTAAGAAGCTGAATGTAGTATAACCCAGTATAGTAAAGTATAACCCAGGAGAAGTGAATTTGTTCATGTAGCCATAGGGTTGTGGCTTACAAACTCCTCAGGAACTTGAAAGCATTGCTTTTACTCAGCAAAAGATGTCAGTCTCTCCGCTTTGTGTTTTTACACCTGCATTATGCAACATAAATAGTTTCAACTTATGTTTGAAATTGGTGAGTTAATTAAACTTAATTTTGAGTGAATGTACCAAATAAATTAAACAAGCTGAGGTTATAGTGCAAAAAAAGAGCAAAGGACGATCATGCATGGACATGGACATGACTGGAAAATGAGGGAAATTGTGACTACTCTGAAGAAACCTTTGATAGCTTTTTTTTACATTAAAAAAAATATAATTAAAAAAGTATTTAAAATTCTGGCAAGACCATATTGTTCTACCATGTTTTTTAATACTTTGCAAAATGATTTACATTTTTACATCTGATTGTTTACCACAGGGAGTGTGATGTTGCCATTGGTCTAGATAGGGTCAGTAAATGTTGTGGAACATGCTGTGTTTATCTGATAATGTAGGTGGGACTGGAGAAATGGGAGCAGAAGACGTAGTCAAAGCACCAGAGTAAAGCCCGTCCTACAGTGGGGAGCCTCATTAATTTTCCAAAAGGGCCCCACGACACTGGTTCAAGTTGCTACACCATCAAGCTATGGGACCATTGTCATCTCCCCTGGACTTCTCTGTCTAGAGCAGAAAAATACTGCAGTTCATCACATAAAAGGAATGTGAGGATCCAACAATAAAATAACAACGACAACAACAGCAACAAAGAAACAAAAATAAAAACCCACAACATTTTTCCACATGGTATTCTTCACACTGTTTTTCTTGAATTTATATTTTATAATATATATATATATATATATATATATATATAATCTCTTAAAGTCATTCTTGAAATGTTCAGGCCTGTGAGAGATTGAGGGCATGATGGGTGAGTTCTGAATGCCCACGGGGCCCTTTGTGACCCACAAGTGTGTAACGCTGAAGTAGGGCTAGATGCACTGGCGTCAACTTTGCTGATCCTTCCTCCACATCACGCAACATCACGGGGTTTCCTCTAGGATTCCACCACACTTCCCTTTGACCTCAGTGTTTCTCAGACGGGGACAATATGGAGGCCGAAACCCTGGCCCTGCAGTTTGAGCTGGTCTCCATGGTAACTAGTGGCGGTCGTAGGCAGTGGCAGCAGTGGGAGGTGCGGAGCCACGGGATGCGGCACTATAATAATAAGGGGAACCTGAAAGTTAACAGAAGAGCAAGCTGTTGGAAACCATGAGGCCAAACATCATGTAAGACGTGTAAGATGTGTGTAAAACTCCACGTACAGAGAATACATGGAGCCTGAAAATTTGTATTTTTGTTTTTGAATACGATTTTAATTTTACAACATTTCTAGAAGAAAAAAGTTCATTTCTGTATGTGTATGTTTGAGTTTTTGTTATTTAAGAGAAAGTTGCTTACTTAGTAATGCTGGATTGCTGAACCGCCACGCTTCATTGTAAGTGGTGTATTGTGGATGAGAGTAAGGGTTTCCAGAAAAGTCCCCTCCTAGAGAACAAACAACAACAAACATTAGCAAAGAGCTAACAAACTGAAATGACTGACAGCTTTTGTAAAATATATATATATATATATATATATATAAAAAAGCATTTTCACCAAGTTACATTTAAGTTGAAGTCTGGCATTTTTATCCTGGCTGTTTGTAGCCTATAGCTTGTCTCCATGGTCCCTTCAGGTGAACTGATTGTTTTATTAATCCTCTGTTATTCTTCAGGATTTCCTCTATTCTTTCCTTAAGTGAGTATTTCAGTGCTTTTCCCCCTGCTTTTAAATGATGATGCTTCGCTTCAAAACTCCCTAATAGGTTCTCTGAGACTCTCATTCGCTTTTTGTCCTCCCTGTGTAGGTTCTAGTGGAAAGGACGGGAGGCTGAGGGGATGTCAGAGAGTGATGCTGTGGGTCCACAGGTTTCTTTCTTTTTATGACACTATAAAGGTAGGGTTTAATATGAAGCTGCTGAAGAATGGCTTTTGCTTTAACAGTGTTTGGGGCCAGTCACTAAATCTTAGTCATTCACCACCAGTTGAAAAAAACCCTGCAACCTCTGGATTAAGTAGCTGTGTTTGTATGCTTGTATGTGTGTTTGCCTAAGTATATCTATAAGCACTTTCTAGTGGCATATAATGAAATAAAGCACAAGTAATTTTCTTAATTTGAGATATCAGCTTTTAACTCCATGCATTTCTTAAAATATTACCCTCCACACTGAGCCCACTTGTAAATACTGCACGCCTGCGTTGATTATTGCTCAGTGTGAAAGGTACATGTCTCAGAGCGATAAAGGGAATTGTGTTTTCAGTTGTTTGGAGGAGAGATCTACACACTCTGGCAGCTATAGCATCCTCACGGCTGGTCGTGTAACTCAAGCTCATCCCTGAGAGAGATAGTGATTTAAATATTTACAGGCCCTCCACGCCTCTGTGTTTTGACCCTTAACTGTTTGCTGTGAACCTGAACTGCAGGTTAAGTAGAGGGGAAAGAGATACGCTCTGCAGCCCTGGGTGTCCGGGGAGGCGAGGAGAGGCGCAAAAGCAGTGTTTATCGACGGGGCTGGTGAGAGTGCGCTGTGTGGACATGGCGAGGGTAATGAGTGCTGGGAGCTGGAGTGTAACTGAGAGGAACTGTCCTATCTCACGGCGACTGATTGTGGTGATCGCCTATCGAGTTCATCTAATGTCCTCGTCCGCAGACGCTAACTACACGCTAACCACAGTCTAACAAAGCTATAACAAGCTCTTTTCAGTCCTTTGGGTCAACAGAAATGCTTTAAGGTTTCTTAAGCCTCTCAGCAGTGAATGTGCTTTTGTATGTGTTACTGATGAGGACATCACAGAAAAGCATTACCACTTGTTCAGCTGAAAGTGACCTCAAATTCTTTAAATAAGAAGGGAACTACATTGTGAAAATAAAACATGTAAAAGCAGAATTAATGGCGTCATAAAAAGAGAGTAGTGTCACCTACCAGGAACCATTCCAGCGAGTGTGGAGGTGGGGTAGCTACCTTGTCCTGTGGGGGGGACATGAGGCGGGTAGCCAGGTAAGGTGGTACTGGCCATGTCTCGACCTGCAGGCACACAGGAGGAAAATTCTTACAGGGATGCTGATCACAGAAAAGTTGAATAACTTGCCATACACGCTAATTAACAACGTTTCCTCAATTAGGTTGATAAGAAACCTAATTTAGGCATTTGTCTCCTAGAAATTACAACAGCAGGGTTGATCATTTATTAGGGTACAACTACACATTGTCACCAGTATAGCCAAATATTTGTCTTTTTGATACTACTTTTTTGTAACGTCATGCATTGTATGTCATATTTATAGGGGAATGATTTCTCTGCTGCAATTATGAGATTTTATAAACAAGAAACACACTAAAATCACTAAAGTGAAGAGATGCATATAGTCACTGAAACTAACAAGCAATGACACTGTCTCCCACAATGCATCGCACCATTTTATTTCTTCCAGCATGTAAGATCATGTGTTGCAGAATGTGTCATGAAGGCACATGTTATCCATCCATTTTCTAAACTGCTTATCCTGCATGAGGCTGCAAATGGGCTGGAGCATGCACTGGGTGAGAGCCTGGGTACACAGGACACCAGGCTATATTATGTCAGGGCAACATACATGTTGCTCTGAGGACAGAATTTAAATGATTTATATTACTTCTGTAACATATAAACAAACATCCTAAGCAGCTTTAAAACTGCGAGGAGCATCAGGCTACTGAAAACTCCACATTCATTTCTGTGTAATAATGACAGTATCAGGCCTGGCTGGATGAAGGGGCACACAGGACAGGGAGATATGGTTCCAAAGCAGGCCCCAGCATCAGCCCTATGTCTCTGCCCCCCCCCCCCCCCCCGTGACCCCTCAGACCTTGGGCCTGTCACGAGGCTAGAAGGACCTGGAGGCCTATTGTTAACCAGAGAGATGGGCAAGGGGTCAGAGCTGGAGAAAAGCAGGGTGGAAAGGGGGAGAGAGCAGTCTGTTAATGAGGGGGCAAACAGTCAGCTTTGCTCCTGTATACACAACAGTAGGGCCACAAAGCATGATGGGATTGATGGCTTTGCAACGTGAGAGGTGGACACTTTAATTAAGTGCATCTTTGAAAATTGCTAAATTAATAAAAAATCATCACAGAGGTAAATCAACTGAACTGAGTGAGCTTGATTGGAATTTGATCTGGTTGCTGGGGCCTTATGGGTAAAGTTGTACCTGCTATAAAGGGCTGGCTGGCATACTGGCTGTAGCAGGAGCCATGGGCATGGGCACGGTAGCTGGGAGTAGAGGCATCTACAGAGAGGCTGGACTGGTGGGGCAAGATGTCAGCTAGATCAGAGTCCCCAACAGAGGAGGGGGTGAAGGGGGCAAAGGACGCCTCATGGGGCTCACGCTTTACACACATGGACGGTGGATATGATGGGTGAGAGTCTGCCGGGTGAAAAAAAAAAAAAAAAAAAAAAAAACTAGATGTAATTTAGACATGCAAATCCACACATGCTATACATGCATTCACCTTCAGTCACTCATATGCATGGTGGAATGGATGTGTAGCTTTCAAAATGTTCAAATAACCAACTAGGAAAACTGCGTGTCAAAAACAAATAAAATGTGTCGCAGCAGAAGTTTTTAGATTTGTTATGCACATAGACGAACACTGACAGAGACAGGACAAATCTTTAGCAGATTCGTGGTATAAATTAAAGGGAGCCTGAAGGATGAGGAACACTACAAGTGCTACTATACATTAACTTCCTATCTTTTACCAACTCAAGACCCAACACTTTCATAAGAATTCTGAATAGATAAGCAGTCTTTAGCAGTTGATTTGTTCATTTACATAGTTTATAATAATAATCTCATATGCACCCAGCAGTAATTCATTCAGCTAAGTGGAAACATACACCAGTGAAATGTTGCAACAACACATCGCGCCTGATCAATCAAGCTCAAATGCGTAAAAAATTTCCCCATGGTTTTAGGAAAACAAACAACATAATCTCACGGCTGCTTTCTCACAACAAAATCACTCCCACAAATAACTAAACAATCGGCTTGCAGACAGTTCAAAACTCTACACTTTGATCTAATTTGGCTGATGAGTCTTGGCATCTTTCATTTCACCGGCTCTGCCTCTTGAACCTATGCAATCAATGTGAGCTCTGTCTCCGGCCTCTCCACGTCTGCCGCAGAGCCCGTTCTGTTCGCTGGGGCCTGTAGGGAGAGATGGCTCTTTCCCGACACCATGATAGCCTCATTAGCTGCTTCCCCCATCATTGTTATTTTACAACAGGACTGTGTGTTGCAATTCCTCATTAAGATAAGGGCTGTTCTATGGAAGGGGGATGCAACCCTGTCAGCCCTATAACCCTAATACCAGGGAAACAGGCAGTGTAACTGTCTGCTTTCCCATACAAATCTGTAGCAGGTTCCCCTAATCTCTTTGTCTTTTTGACAGCTGTAAATGTGGAGGATTTAGACAGAGGTACTGCAATTACACAGAATACTTTGAGGCAAATACCATTGTCATGGAGGGAACAACTCAATGTAAGTTTGCAACAATGTAACTTTTAACTTATGATCAAATCATTAAAAAGAATGGTTTCTCTGGCAAGAACAGAACTACTCTAATGAGCAGGCTTTGAATTTAATTGGGTGGACCTAAAGCTTTTCATGCACTGTGTAAGTATGTCACAAATCTATTGAGAACAGGGTACGAATATAGGAATGATTAAAAATGGATAGTGCTCAGTTCGTTCCTCAGTTAATTATAGCTAACTTGCAGTATGTTAAAGCATTTCAAGTTAAAACAGCTTTCAAAAGTCCAGTTAACCAGAGGTTGATTTGAGTGCTTAACAACCACCATCGACAAAAGCACTATATTCAACAGCCTAAACTATAAAAAAAAACAACACTATGTGGCCCACCTAACCTTGGGACATTGATCTTAAATCTATGATAAGACTGTGGATGCCAAACAAGAAGCCCAGGCCAGTTTATACTGTATCTGAGTCTTCCCGTACACTACGGTAGGCTTGTGTTTTCTCAGCGCCTGAGCAACCGTTGTCAAACAGACAGGAGTTACGACGCAACAACAACCGATACAAACGCTGCGTTCAAGACCACTGAACTCTGAAACTAATCAGACATGGTGTTGCTTATTGTCCTGGAGACGAGGCAAAGCCTGGGTAAAGGGAGTCTGTCAAATCACAGGCCCTGATGATGGAGATGGAAGATAAACTCTGGGTCCTTGGGGACTCCTCTTCCCAGCAAACACATCTCAGAGTGGAGATGCTATAGAGTTCTCCAACATCTGTCTCTGCCCCACCACTGATACCACATCTACAGACCCCATCAACCATAGAAATGAACTATTAAGAACCTACAGCAGTCCTTGGAGTGATGCGTCCAGATATAGCTGCAACAGCCTTCTCTCATGTGAGCATTTCATTTTTAAATGCCCACCGAGGAACTTTGGTGCGCAAACCATTTGCTGGCAGAACTCTTGTTTTCAAAGGCTGACACTCAATCCACAGACAACTTTTTCATTCCAACAGCATGTTCAATATCACAGCAAAACTTGTGTCTTTTGCAGGTACACATTCATGTTTTCAAGTACAGCCAGTTATACATCTTCAAGCCTTAATTCCCCTGCATTGCTGCATTGTAGAGGTGGTCATTAATAACCACTTACACCAGAAAGGAACAAAAGAACAATGATCAAAGGCTGCATCCAGTCGTGAGTGAGTAAAGAATATTTGTGGGGCCAAATACTTTGAATTCCCCATCCACAGGTTTAAAGTAATTCATTATCAAATGTGTGCTCAAAGGTTAGTGTGCTATTGTGGAGGGTGATATAAACATTAATTTCCAAGCCCTGGGCTGCGGGCATTAACTGAGCTGAGACAAGCCGTTTGTCACTAGGCCACACACCAGGCACCGCAGGTGAGGCGGCTGCTTGTTGTTTGCCACCCAGCAGAGAATAGCTGGTACTGCCAAGTCGTAAACTGGGCTCGGAGAGTGGTGTACATTTCAGCTTAAATTAATCGGAAATAAAGAGTTTTTTATTTTATTTTAATTTTTAACTCTGTTCTCTCATCTATTCAATTTCTCACTCACAGGGAGTGAGAAATACATGGGTATGAAGGTAGATAGATTTAAAGAGAGATAGAATAGCAATGGATCTTCACATCTGCTAGAGTTGTAGTATGTCAGAAGGGTGCCCATTTACACCCAGCCTCCCCACAGGCTCTGGTGAGAGTGATTATCAAGCCCAGCCTGCACAGAGACTACTGTACTCACAGAGGGCATAATCCTATTTAAGTACTGATAAGCAGCTTCAATATTATACTATCATTTATTTCACATATAACGTTTATGTCAGGATTAGAATAACTAAAGTCAAGATGGATCTGCAGACCACTGTGTGTTGCTTGTTCAGTTCAGGTGTCAGTTAAAAACTGTGCAGATACTTGAATGCTGGGCCAGAGCCAGAGACCAGTTAATCACGACACGTTGTTCTATCCATGGACGCACTGAACAGTTCACAGTGTTCGTTTACTGGATACAGACACATACAAGTACAACAGCTTCTCCACAGCTTGTATACACCACTCACAAAGTTCCCTGTTTACTTTTTACCCCGTCGGACTTGCATAATGCAACGGAAACATGGTAACAAGTAAATATAAGACACCATTTTGATTTAATATAATCTACCTGCCAATATTAGTAAGACTTTAGTCTTTTTTTACTAAATGGTAACATTACAATGATTTTTACAATGATTAGTCATTGTCAAGGAGGGGAAACCATTTGTAAATCATTGGTGCTTCATACTAAATCCCACTGGTGTGTTTCAGTGTCCTAAATCCCTCTCTGATTTGGCTATTACCCTCATTCCTAGGTAACCATCTCTTCCACACATTAGGGTAAACAGAGGACACAAAAGATGGCCGACATTGCTTTCGCTAGCGCCCTTGGTACGCAAAACTGAGCACTTCATTAATCATTCATCTTTAATAGATTATGCAAATTTCAGGACATGAAAATCAACAAAATCAATAATGGTATGAATTTTAATTGGGAGCAGAAAACATTTAAAGAATGAATATAATCTCAGAGCTCCATCCAGTATGAGAGCATAATTTATTGATAATTGGCTCCCAGCCTAAGTGAGGAAGGTAATTTAGCATTTTTCAGCCTTGGCATACATTCCTATTTACAGGGTTTGCTAATGGCAGAAAAAATAATATTATGCACTAACAACCTACGTCCAATCAAATGCTTCATGCATTACTATGCAAAGTTGTTGAAATTAAGTAATAAAAGTTTACTATATATTACTTCTGAGTTTAATTTAGTGCTTAAAATACTCATTCACTCACGTACATTTTTTAATGCTTGCGCTAAAGTATGCTGTCATTTTCCACTTTAAAAAAAGTTTTGTTAGTTCGCATCCTCATTATTCAATCTGTGGCCCTGACATGTATTGCTTTAGGAGGCCCCATGCCCCCAGGTGGCTTGAAGGCCACCTGCTTTGAGTGTGCTCCCCAGAGCAAGACCGCTTTCATAGGAGGATCCCAGCATAAAAGACCAAAACACACCTTTCTTCTCCTGAGACCCAACTTTCTGGGGCAAATCTACCTCCCACATATCAGGAATAAAAGAGGGGTCTTTCTTTTCCCATAGCTGTGTGCCTGGGTCCAGGGCAGGACTACAGGGATCATTTGAGAAGGGCCACTGCAGTTTTCAATCATGCTGTCCACCTCTTTACTTACTCTCTCTCTCTCTCACACACACACACACACACACACACACAGTGGACTCACTTGACTTTGATGCCCACTGCATAATTATGGATGTTTTATTAAAAGGCTGGTTTATTATTTTCAAGTCAGAGTGGCCATCAGTAAACCTAACCCCTCCTGGGAAAAAAGCCTCTGCAGCCACATTGATACAATATTACAATTAACCAGGTGGACAGCAAAGGAAAAGAAGCCATAGTGCAATAAAGGGTGGGTTTGTGTGGGTTATATGATACAGATTAATATTACAACATATTCAATACATTGCACCTGCCATTACCTTTTTGCTCTCAGTGGAAGTTAATATTGAAAACAGCACTCAGCTCATAGGTTGTAAAAAACAATAATTCCAGGGTTTCTTTCACTGTCTGTGTCTCATCTGTATTTAGGTCTCTCTCTCCACAGCATGAAGCAGCCAGCCAGCCACGGAGCTATTCCAGCCGCTGTCAATCAACAGGCTATCATAGCCTTTGATGACAACGTTGTGGCGCGGCGAGAACAGCAGCTGTCTCTTATGAGAAGTGCTCCCAGTCAATCTGTTAGCAGGCCGATCCGGGCTAACACAATAGCCAGTTAGGAGCAGTGTGTGAAAGGCCTGTAGGATTTAATGGACTCAGATGATTTATCGCCTCGCTCTGTCTCTCAGAAATAAACACACAAAGTGCCTCAAAAAGTGGTTTGAAAGAGCGTTATCATTTGGTGATAAGATTTTTATATTGCTGAAAAATGTGTGTGCCTTAAGGATATGGCAGTCAAAATCAGTAATTTTTTTATCAGCTCCAATAGTGTGCACACATGGCCTCTGTTGATTATAGGATTGAATAATTAAACTCAAAAACGTGTGGAAAACAGTTACGGAGATGCCATGAATCAACATGGAAATAGGTAGCACCCGAAGCAGAGCTAAACACGCTATACTTGTGTTCTCTGCACTAAGGGCAGCTGTGTGTATTCTTTTAGGGATCAATCTAGTGTGAGTCAGATTGTACCTGTCACAACAGAGTAGCTCTGTGAGACACTGGAGGCGAGGTCGGAGCTGGCGCTGGTGGAAAGGCTCGGCTTCACGTCTTCCAGGCCAGCGTTCAGGGATGGGAGTGAGTATTCATTTGCCTGTACACAAATACACAACAAGTGCAAAAATTTGTCAGTGGAGAAATGCACATGTAAGTAGGTGGCAATCAAAAAGAGCAAGTCACACTTTCCATATAAAATATTTTCACATTCCACCATATTGTGTCATGATCTGGCCAATATAGCTCATGCAAGCCCATTTGCTGGGTGCTAAGTTTAGAGCAGATGTCCCAGTCTGGGAGACAATACATGAAATATGTCTGAAGGAAACCCCTGATGTATCTGAGGAAGCTGTCTGTGATCCTCTCACTGTGTTTCCATCTGAATATTTCCTGTGAGTTCTGTGAGCACCAGCAACCCCCCTCACCAACCCGTCCTGTCCCCGCTCCCCCATGCTTTACCAAGACCTATGATGTATGCATGCATTAGGGCTTGTCTGAGGAGAAGGCAGAAAGGGAGAGAGGGATGAGAGAGGGATTGGGAGAGGAGTGAAAGGATGGGGTGTCAGCTGGCTCTTTGTGCTCCACTGCAGTCATCCCTGTGACCAGTCAAGGGAGGAGACATTCAGGGCTTTGTTACAGGAGAGACATGTGGTGTGGTTTTTTAAAGGGGAGTACAACCTCAAAATCAACCTTTGTGCTTTGCCTCTAGGATGAACACATAAAACTGGGTTAATAAAATTATAAAATACCTCGTATTGTTTTACACCTTTTATACTATTATTAGTATTTTCTACTTCATATTGGAGGTTTTCTTTTCTGTTGTGATAAAGGTACCATGCAACTGCAGGCCTCTTCCATATTTACAATTTAATTCAAAAATATGCAAAACTGTACTGGACCAGAGAACTTCCTGTAAGGATCAACAACTATTTTCTTTGGTATTTATTCACTTTAATCTCAGGTTAAGACTGTGCTAGCAGCTGTGATGAATACTGTTTGTTAATGAGATGACACTTCCTGACCTGACTCTTCTTCTTTGAAGTGTGTGTGCACACATTTGTGTCTGTGAGTGTGTGTGCAACTGTTTGTCTCAATGGGACTGAGTCCCACAGGGGCGAGCTGGTGACCCCAGTCTTGTCTGCCTCTATCCCAGATAAACTCTAATTGTCTGCTTACAACTGTTCCCTGGCACAACGCTGGATGTTCCTCTCTATTCCGCTGGGCCTCAGCAGCACAAGAGCCATTTTGTCATGCAGATGGGTTGTGGGCAGGGCTGGGCAGGGCTGGGTGGAGGGCGAGTGGCAAGCACAGAGGGGCCTGAATGACCTGACCACATGGCTGCCAGAAGTGTGGGAGGGATGAGGCCTATTCAGCCTGGCCTCTTCAAAATGGCTTTTTAATGCCCTAACGCAGACACCAGACAAGCCCCTAATAGCCTAATATCCCACCTTTTCACCAGTTTAAGAAAAGGAGGGGGTGTTGGAAACACGGAGAAAAAAGGAGGTGCACAGAAAGAGTGGAAAGCAGCCTGATTAATATTACATCAAATTAAAACTGATTTTTCTGGACCATTCTGATGCAGTTTTTCTCCCCCCTCCTCCACCTTCCTCTCGCCTTTTTAATACCTTCTCCTCCACTCTTTGTGATTGCAAGTCATTTCCAATTCGTTTTGGTATTGATCTTGCCGTAGAAATCACTTTGGTAATTAGCTGTATTAGAGGCTGTATAGCAGGCCGAGGGGCTGTCCCTCTGATTTATCGTCGCTGTAATTCCCCGCGATCGCGCAGAGATGAAAATGAACTCAATTAGGGCACTGCTAAGGCTGCATGTGCACCCACATAGAGTTCCAATGGAAAAATTAATAGTCTCTTGTTGTTTAACAGTCTAATGAATGTAAATAAAGGTTATCCGCTGTAATAGGCTGTAGGCTTTTAGGTTGCTTTAAGCAGAAGTTGCACCGTGCTTGTTGTCACCTGCGTCAGTATGTGTACCAGTTAATTCACAATAAAACGTTATATATAAATAAATGTAAATTATTTCCTTTTTTACTACAACAGCTTGAGGACAGACAAGAAGAAAGAAACCAGGATGTAAGTGCAAAAATGTAGAGTGTAAATCTGTCTGGCCAACCTGTTCAGGTTTGATGTGTTCTGAAGTAGGGAAGACATCAGGATAAGAAGGACGTTCAAAAACACGGTCCAGGGCCTCCAGCTGCTGCTGGGTGAAGGCATCTGCTCGCAGGTGCTTCCTTAAACTCTCCACACTGCCCTGAGAGTCGCTGCCGGGGCCTGAGCCATCAGAGCCATCTAGAAAAAGAGGGAGAAGAAGAAGGGAAGGGTGGAGGGAGGGTGACAATGTTCTGCATCAGGGCATAGCTCTAGTCTTTTTACCTGAAATTATTCTAACAGGCTAGCAATGTGAGATAAGCATGAGGAGATTTTTGTTTCGTTTTGAGCTCAAAGGGGGTGAGAGTGACGGCCTGAGGAGCAGTATTAAATTCAGGGAGACCCACCAGCATGTCTGGCTTTTAACTCCCTCTCTGTTTTTCACACTAATACACTCACTCAAGGAGCTCTTTGCTGCCCCCCCCACCACCTCTCCTCGTGGCCACCATCAGCACGGTCATCATGTGATAGGTCTATGGTAATTGATGGATTACCTTCAGTGCAAATATATACTTGTAAGGGAGAGCGTGTGTTTCAGGAGGAGAAAGTAGGGCTGGCGATTACATACAGAGCCTCTCATTCTGCCAGCGGGAAATGGAGAGCCATTATTTAACTGCACTATTTCCTCCTGAACATATTACCCTTTCCTCTCTCTGTCTCTCTTTCTCTCCCTCCATCCCCCACATATTGCCTGTCTTCTGGAAAACAGAATGGAGTGGGGATGGTACTCAGGGCCGAATGAGGACAGGGCGTCGAGGGCAAGCATATGCATTTCCTCACTCGGTCACACTCTATATAAACAAATGAGCCTATGCTTCCCTCGTTCTCCTGGTCTCTGACCCTATCAACTCGTCCAGGGAGCCCACCGCTGCCATTGCAGCTCTCCCTCTGCTCACTCATCAAGTCCTGAACAGTGAAAGTAAAAAAAAAAAAACATCCAGCCAGCATCCCAGGAACCTCCACTCTACTGCCACCCTCCCTTCCTCCCTTTACCCCGCCGCCAACAGCGGATGAGGGCTTTAGCTCCCATACAAATCTGTCATTCTAAATTTGCAGCAGATTATGTTCTCTCCTGGGCGAGCCAGCGGTGATATATGATATGCAAGGCCGCTATTGATTGCCTGATCCACCAGCAGAGGAGGGAGGTGAAATGAACTTGGAATGAACATCATGCCTCAACTCATTGTGCGTATAATACTCTACTTAATCCCACATTTTTCTGTGCTATGGAATTCAATTGATCAATCATGTTCCACTGATGGTACCATTTCAGGGGCGTTATTGCCATTCTGCTCGGCTGCTTGACCTTTTTTCAATGGCTGAGGCCAGAGGATGAACCCGACTCGCACCAAGAAATAGATCCATGGAGAGAATGGAATAGAGGACTGCAATTGAGTATGAGGGTGTGTGTGTGTGTGTGTTTCACTGTTTCACTGTTAAAACATATTGACTTTAGTTTTGTGTTACATTTGTGAAGGAATCCGTTTTTTCTCCTGCTATGTGTTTTTCCTACCATCAGTCAATTGTGTTTTTCCTACCATCAGTTAACCAAATATTTTAGCACAGACTTTCTTTCTTTTTCAAACAGCTCCCTTGGGTGGAGGGTTGAGGTTGCTGGTGGTGAAACAGCATTAGTGTTGCTGTAGAAACTCAATTGTTGTCTGTGCTACAGAAGAAAATGGAGTCATTAATTACCTCGTATCAGCTGGTCTGAGAAAAGAAGCAAGCTCGATCAATAGCAACTGTTTGTCATTCACTATGGAGGAGCGTGCTTGTACTCAGCACCCCCTCACACACTTAATCAGACCGTCTAAAGTGGCTGCAGAAGCACATAGATTCCCATCATAGGATACTTTTTGGTGCACTTTCTGTGATCTAAATGTATGAATCAAGTTCCACAATTAGGTTTTTAATTTAGGAACCTGCTAATGAATGACGGGCATTTTAACACAGTGGCTAATAATAAACAACAACTAAATTTATATCAACAACACTTTGTTGTTAAAGGTTTGTTTCTGCCAGTAATGGTTTAAAACAGGGAAACAGGCCAAAGCTTTCATCATGATCAGTTCAAACACACAATTTTTTCATCTCTAACTTCATTTATACATGTGAATATATTTCAAAAGTATGTGGTTAAAGAATTAATGATTTGGTCTTTAAATGGAAATACTAGTGAATGATTTATTTTTAAAAATCACCATTAGAGGTTCATGTTTGACATATATCATAAGATAGCAGCAATAAATCAGATTCATCCTTTGACAGTCAGCGTGTCAAGTGGAGTGTGAAGCCCGACTGTCAGATCGCGCGCACATTTGTGTGTGTGTGTGTGTGTGTGTGTGTGTGTGTGTGTGTCTCATTGACTGGCTTGTTTCATTTTCTCAGTGTTTCTTCAACCCCTTTGGGTGTCTCAGCAGGTTTTCTCTTATCACTCCCACAGCACCAGCTGACTGCGTCTCTTTGCTTTAACACCAAAGTGTGAGGAGACAAACTGAGATAAAAACAAGACTCTCCAACAGTGACATTCACACGACAACCCTGAAGCAATTTACTTTCTGGCAAATACTTTCTTTGATCAGGTTAAACAGACAGATGCTGTTTGACCTTGTTGTATCCCAAAGTTATATTTTTCATCATGATGTATTCAAACATTTTAAGTGGACTCTTGAGCTTTGTACCAAACTTAAAAACCCAAAGACAAACTCAACCAATGGGCAAAAAACTGCAATTGGCATCCATGTTCAAGAAAATCGTGATAAAAGGATCTTAAGGAAACTAATATTCACACTCATGTACTTTTAGCTATTTGTACACACGTGTACAGAGTTAACCAATGACAGTAGCTACAGTGAAATAGACAACAATGGCATCAAAAGCTGTTCTGTTTTGCTTTGGGGGGGATGTTAACATCCTGCGGTGGCATGGTGCCACTTTATGTCCTTCTTTCATCTCCCGTGTTCCTGTGATAAGATAACTCAGAGGAGAGTAGAGGTGGGTGCTTGTTTGAAAGGCAAATGAATTCCTACACACTGTCTCCGTAAATCAATGGCTCAGGGTTTCCCAGATCAGAGGCTGCGAGTCCTCTGCTGATAGGTGAAATGATGCTATCGCAAATTGTGGATCATTTGTTGATGTTTTTAAAAATGCAGTTATGCTTGAAAAAAAAGAGAGCATAAACAAACTGGTATACCCAGAGGGTGTACACTCCTCCCCTGTAAGCTAGCTATATTTATGAAACCTCTGAAGCGGAAAGGAGAGAGGTGGGTAGTGTGGGGGAGAGAGAGGGAGAGAGGCAGCAACACTGCCATGGCTGTTAAGATCCTGTTATGTTGTGGCGTGTTTAAGAGCTTTATTAATTCGATTTAGCATCACCAACCAGTGTACTGACTGTCAGCAGGCATAGCGACGCTTATTTGATATTTGCACTCACTGCCAGCCACTGAGGCTGCGTCCACAGTATTTTAAAGCACTCTAGTTATTTTATTTACTTTGTTTTAAATTCTCGGATAAAGTCCAATGCAGATAGTTAATAATAAGTAAATAAAAGTACATGACTATTTGAATACAATTTGTGAGTCTGACATTAATAAGAAGGTGGCTGTAGATCAGCAGGTAAGTTAACCTTTAATTGCAAGGTTGGTGGTTAGATTCCTGCCTGCTCCTGCCCACATGAGTGTGTTTGAGCAAAACACTGAACCTCCTGATGTGCGTTTGTGAGGGAAAAAACATTGATTTGGAATGTATTGATTTGGAATGTAGAGGTATATTTGCACACGGTGTGAAACACGCTGCAAAAATGTCTATTTTATAAAATAAAATATGCCAGTGCAGCAAGACTATTGCAATGTATTGTAGAAATAAGTTGTTAAATGAGTAGATTGCTGCACCAGAAACCAGAATTTTTTTTTAAAAAGTACTTAAAACACTTTGCATTGAAAACAAGTTTAAATAATCTTTGTTTTCACTTGTTTTAAGAAAATAAGTTATTCGGGACTCAATTGCAGGCAAAAAAATGACTTGATGAGAAGGAAGGGTATGTTTGCAGTAACTCCCTCCCTCTGTAGTATGACTCCATTCCCATCTCTTATTTTTCTTTGTCCTCCTCTGCTTTCATCTCTACCCTCCTCTGGACCAGTCTGTCGTTTAGCGTTGCCACCCCGTGTGGCGAGTATTTGTGGAAATGCAATTAACGTATCTCTTCTTTTTTCTAGCCTTTTCTTCCTCCTCAAGCTGAGTAATGCATCGCTCCATTAATTCTCGGCATCGCTGCCCGTAATTGACTTTTTCTCTGACATGATTCCTCTCCATTGAGTGAATTCCCTCTCCTTATATTTTTGTGACGGATCTAATTGTATATTGTTTACAACTATATCCGCCATGTTGTTGAATACAAATGGTTAACCCACAAGACTCACAAAGATGATGGGGGCCAGTAAGAGGAAAAATTAAATGTTGAAGCAAAAGAACGACAGAGGTAGAGCAGAGAAGGAGGAGGGGGACAAATGCAATGTCAACCCTTTTGTGTCCTTCTCTACTGTCAGGGCCCTAACAGCTTCTTGTCTCTATGTTACGCTCTGTGGCCCGTCTCAAACCTGGGCTTTTCTCTCTCACACACACCCCATCACGGCCATCATGGTACTCATGATTCCATTTATTTCTGTCTCGCTCTGGAATGCATTTATTTTCTAAAGTGATCCTCTATTGACTCATTGTCATGGACTGGCTTGACTAGCCAACCAGTGTAGGCCCAGGTTCAAATCTATACACCAACTGATTTAAACTCCGCAAATGGTTCATATGTGCTAAAAGATACACATCGGACAATCTCGAAAAAGGGCCAAATATCACATTTGAACAAATCAAAACGGGGACTATTCATTTTTTTCTTTAGCTATTGAACAAGCTTGATATGACGATGGCTGCCGCGTGCTTTTGTGCCATGAATGAACAACCTGCTAGACCATATTTTTTTCCTCCCCACTCACACACTCATCAGCTCCTTCTACACTCATCCCACACCCACGCTACAATCACAAGTTATGACCTTTGCTTTCTCCATCTAATTTATCACTGTAGCTCCCTACTGCCTGTCCTCCCCAGAGCTCCACTGGGCTCCATCCAGTACGTGGTAAGCCAGCAATGAGAGAAACATACAGTTGGGTCACATTAACCTGACCGCATCCAGCAGCAAGTTCAGGAGTAACCTGTCACTATGTGCAAGACTAGGAAAACACTGAATTAATAAAACTGCAGCTGTAATAAAAACAGATTTTCCTTTAAAAAGACAAAAAATTAGAGCAGATATGTCTCTATCTCTAAGAAACGATTGAAAGGCCCAAACTTTTCAAAAGAGAGCATGGACTTCCAGCACTAGAATACACATTTGACAGTCACACAGCAGTTGTCACCCAATCCTCTCTGCCTTTTCTTGGCTTCCACTTCCACCATAGGTTTAAATGACTGAGTGAGAGCATGCTGTACAACAGGCTAATTTCCCCACTTCACTATTAATGCATTTGGCAGGAACAACATTCCATTTCCTGTAATGAGATACACAAATAAATCTGGCTATGGATAGATTCAGAGTGGGGTGGTGGAGGTGATGGTGGAGGGAGGAGAAGGAGGAGGTGGAGGAGGATGGAGGGATGTTGTGGGGGGCAAAGGAGGGGGCGCATTGAGACGCATTCTCCCAGCACTGGCATAATTGGTATCGCTGCTTGCAGACATGCAAACCAATCTCTCCACAGATAGGGCTGAGACTCTCTCTTTTCCCCCCTTAAGGCTATTTCTTTTGTCTTTTCGATAGCTTGCACATCCAAGATAGAGGGAGGGAGGGTGGGGGGAGATGTTAATTTGTGAATTAATAGCTTTTCTCTGCAGAATTGCAAATTCTTCTAAATGTCACTATGTTCACTGTGTGAGGAGCATCCGAAGCCACAGAGTTACACACAGACACACTTAACACACACATGTCCATGCAAAGGTGTATACGTACACATGCACAAAACCTAATACTAATCCTTGGTCAACTCTCACTTAGGCTCACTTAGACCTCCTTCTTTCCTCCTCCCCTCATAATCCCACCTTTTGCCCATCATTCCCTTGCTCCTCTGTCTCTTGTTTTCCTCCTCCCATCTTCACTTGAAGCTGTCCAGTGTAACATGCTACTTTTAATTTGCAATAACACGTGACAAGGACAGATTAATGGCTCTTATGGCACCTATGTCCCTGAAGCTCATCTTACGCGGACCCGGTGTACATAACGAGTGTCACACTACATTATCTCTACAGCCCTCCAGTAATGGGGACCTTTTTCTTCCTGAAAGGGCAACTGCTGACTTCAACCACACTGGGATCACACCGTCACAACACCAGCGGTAGGACCATGCAATGCATTTTCATGTTCACCACGGTCAAATTATCCCAATTTAGACACCAACATGTGATGCTTCAAATCTTTCATTGGTTTACAGACATGCAACAAAGTCAGGTGAGTCATTTGCAGAATATTCTCAACAACAGAAAACCCAGCTGCACTAGGTCTCCCTTCATTTTTTAATGTATTTATTCACTTACCTATGTACTCATTTATGTATTTACTGAGTTGTCTGACAGGTAATATGTAACATTTTAGCAGATAACTTTCTGCTGTGACATAGTTTTGGCTAGCTCAGGTAGATGATCCGCCTGTAGCTGAGACCACCCCTATAGCTTTGTTTTTTAAATTAACAAGAACGCTGAAACTATTTTTAAAAATGACCATGAATAACCAAACACAAGAGCTGTAGAGGGTTTCTTGACATTGCAGGTAAAATTTTGAATTATTAAAAAAATATATATATTTTAGGTTACACTAAACTGCATCTTGTTGTCAAAAATCCGCAGTTATCTTTGCCTGATAACAATTCTAAATAAGTTACACTATGCATTACTGTATATTGAACTGCATGCCATTACATGGAAAATAGGATTTTCCACAGTCACTTTAGCTTCATTTCTTTTAATTTCTCGGGAGATTATTTATTGGAAAAATCTTCCCCGCCCCGTTCTCACAAGCTGAAAGAGCAAAACACAGTAACTGAAAGGAAAGTGTTGTGATCTGATTGACCAAAGCAAAAAAGAAGGTTGTCTAACTTCACACTTACAATGTCCTATTTTCCTTCCATCCAAGTGGTTGCCACTCCAGAGAACTAAAGAGACAGAAACATAAAAGAAGGAAGTGGCCTGTTTTGATGAGTGCTCTTTGATATCATTTTCAACCACATCATACCTTCAGCCACCTCAAAGTCGTACCACAGAATCACAAATGTACGCACACACGCACACACGCACACACGCACACACGCACACATGCACACACGCACACAAACACGCAGGCACATGCGCAGCCCCCTCCCTGCCTCCACCGGTCTGTTCCTACACCTGTTCAGGCCTCCACCAGGGACATGTTAATTCATAGGCATTAAAAAAGCCAATTGTTTGCAAAACCGATAATCTATTAGCCCTGAGGCGGTGTGTGTCCACTCTCTTGCCTTGCCTAGGAATGAAAATTTCTGGCTTGGACCGGATAGGCTTCCACTTAATCTTTGAGCGTATCTAGGTCTTTTTTTCTTGCCAGTCCCCTGGTGTTAGTCTAGTATACAGTCTCACAAAAAGACTTTATTATTGAATGTTTTAATGCTGTTCAGCACCACAGAAAAAAATCTAATTAAGTCAAAAATGTATTTATGTATCTAAAAGGTGCAGAATATTAAATGACTGGTAGTTAACTGATTGTATCAAGGCAGAGAATCGCAACAGAGCTTATGTTTCTGCCTTTTGTTACGTTATAGAAATGAAAGCTAGTAGCAGCAGCATTGATACCTTGCCAAGGGGGATTAGAGTTGTATGACAGCTATATGGGATATCTGCAGTACATCTGAGCATTGTATAAAATTGAGATGCAGCTCTGGAGGCGTATGGTAAAACGTTAGGGCATCAAAAAGCTGATTGAATCACAACACTCTCTCAACACTCACCCTGCCTTGATATACAACATAACAAGTCACTGGAGACAGCACACAGAAACGCACTTGGCTGCAGCGCTGTCATAAATGCCATCTTCTTCACACACAGGGAAAAAAAATAGGAAACGAGTGATGGAGAGAATTAAAAGGATGGAAAACAAAGGGATCTTGTGTCTCCCTTACCATCGTCTCGTTTCCTCTTCTCGCCGTTGGAGCGGGGGATACCCAGAATGCCGTTGATGGAGTAGGATCCTACGGGATCGTTGGAGGCGCTGGTCACAGGGGGCGAGGCTGTGCTGGGCACTGATGGAGAAAGCTGAGTTATTGTGTGTGTGTGTATGTACAATATATGTGTGTGTGCCTGACACATTTGTGTGTTTATTCCGGTGCATGTTGGTTAGTATGTGAAAATGCATGTGTTCATATTTAGGTGTTTTCTTTCTGTTTCAGAAACCCTGCTTGGCTCATTTGACTGTGCTGTAATCTGTGTGTAGCCTCATTCACACTCACCTATGGTGTGGCCGGGCGTAGAGAGTGGCGTAACAGATCCGTCAGGGGACGGGTGGAAAGGCTGCTGGACTTTGGTGCGAATAATCCTGGTAAAGTGAACAACAGACACGGATCAATCAATACTGCTTCCAGAGCATGGAGATTTCACACCAGCCCTGCCGCCCTGGGACACTTAAACATGGCACATCAGGTCCACTTACGCCTGTGCATGTACAAGTGCTCCATCGTTTGGGATGCTTGTATCCTCATATTCAGGCCCCTGTCACAAATAGCCAATCTCAGGGCTTTAGGGGCAATCTCTCTGCTCCTGTGTGAGGCTGAATAGGGGATGCCCCCTGAGATTGTGGATTCAATCTAGCTGGATTCTGAGGTTAGAAATATGATAAAGTCCCCATACCAGTAAGATGTGATGTGGCGGGAAAGTCTTCATTGCACTTTGGTCTGAATGATCTTGCAAACAAAGCATGAAATCACATCAATTCACCTCAATGATCGGCTTCACTGGCTCTACCTGGCCAACTCTAATAATCTCCCTCTCCTGCTCCCCACTCCCTCTTTTCTCCTCGCTCACTCTTTCTCTCTCCATCTCTCAAACCTGATCTTTCACTCCTCTCTCCGCCAACCTCATCCCCTTTTCTCATTTCTTTTCTGCTGTCCAATGTGCTCTCTCTTTTACTGTACTTTACAATATCTCTCTTTCAAACCCGTCGTCTCTTTCTTTCCTCCTTTCACTCTTCTCTAATTCATTCCTTTATTCCTCCCTCTATTCTCTGTACCCTCTCTGGTGTCTGTTATAGTTTTTGGTGTTTTTGTTGCTCAGTGCAGCACACAAAAATCCTCTGAGCTCACTGAGGATCAGAACCCATTGATTGGGACTCCGGGAAAGGAAAGTTGACGACGAATGGCAGCGAGGAACAGTGAATGCAAATGGTGATCTATAAATATATGTGACAGGAAAGCAATAGAGTCTCATTGGCCCAACCTGAGACCACTGCCACATCCAATGTTAATCTGTTGTGCACAAATAAATAAGTAAAGAATTAAAAAGTGTCACAATAATCTGAAAACTTGATGATGACAAAAATTAGAGGCCTTAGAGATAATGTTACATTTGTAAATTTGAAGATTTTTGTAATTCCTTTTTTTGCAAAACAGAAAGGTACAGTGGGATTTACATAAGCTCAGCTTTAGCTCTTATGGGACATGATCGCATTTCATTAAACCATGACTACGGTAATCTTTTGATTGACCGACAAACATGAGATCATTGAATAATAGGGAGCGTTGTGTACCGACAGAAATCCCACATGGAATTCCTCTCACTGGAGAAGTGCACCAAAATCAGACTTTTACAGACTGCAGATGAGGTGAACGACGTTCACATGTGCATGCAGCATCCAGCAATAAGCTATCAGTTCTAAATCAGGCAGCTGTGGGGTTAACTTCCTCAGGGGCAAAAATGTACATCAGACTCTTTTCATTCCCCTCACTATTTCATGTGTCCTCCATACTCTCTCCTTCAGGCAGGGCAACAAAGGCTAGTAGCCTCCTCCAGAAAACACACATCAATATTTTATTTGAATTTCTAACATCTTGCCACAACAGTTATCTGACCTCATGACTGGAGGGAGCCTCATAAATTCAAGGACTTTGTTTCAAGTCTATGTTGTTGATATTGAATAAGCAATTTGGATGGGTGAATTAACGACTTTGTGTGTTTGGGTGTTAATATATATATATATATAGAAAGATTAAAATGTGGATCAATATGAATGAAAGGACCTTATGGGTTCGTCCACTGGGCATGGTGCAGCGGGTGGAAACTCCTCTCTGCGGCAACAAAACAAAGTGCAACCCAGTCTCTGTGTAATCTTTAATAATTCATGCAGGAAAAATGTGTTTAAAGCCAGGACATCCTTTTTAGTCTTTAGTCAACAGAGCAGAGGTCAGCCATATAACCACAGAGACCACCAGGGGTCCACTGTCTCTTTCTGTCCCTCTGTCTGCCTCTTAAACTTCTCTTCCTCCTCCACATATTTCCCAACCCTCTCTTTAAGACCAACAGTAAGAAACAAAAAACAACGTTAGCCATTTAAAAAAGCCTGTAGTGTGGAAATTATTACTAGAGTTAAGGTTAGATTTTCTAAACATGTCACAATACCCCTGTGCACTTTTTGTGCTGTAATATAAATATTAATTAACCTTTCTTCAATGCTAATATACATTTTGGGGAATACAAAATCAAGAGTTAGTATTGTTAAGGCCTGATTTGTGAGGTCATGCTTTGTGGGCTGGGGGGGAAATGCTGTTTTGTGCATTTCCGCAAGTTCTGATGTTAATTATTAATGTGCAGGACAACTTAGTTTCAAAGGATACACTTTCTCCTAATAGTGCTGTTCCACACAGATCAAACCAAGCAGGTTATCATAAATGTTTTCTAACCGTAAAACATAAAACATTGCCTCCACAGACCACTGAATACATTTTACATGGCTTTATGAACAACAGGTGAAAACAGAGAATCGCACCAAAATACCTGTTGAAACCATCTCCCATGGCAGCCTGCTTTTTTAATAATTCTCTCTCTATTTTTTTTTTTACTAAAGATTCAGCCATGTCCTGCATTTAGCTGGATGTGTTATGAGACTCTCTTCAGCTCATTAAAATGTAATGCCGATGACCAGCTCTCTGGAACAGTGCCTCCTAACCAAAGTTCATCACTGGCAGGCACCATGGGACTTTTTTCACTTTGCACACATGCACTGGGGCTTTTCACCAGCGTCCTCTGTCTAAAGATACTTTGTCCACTGCTGTCCCGCTTCAAGAGGAAAGATGAAGGTGTAGGGTGTCTGCTGCTTTACCTGATTCAGTGGAACAGAAACTCTTTCATAGTCCATTTACCCATAAATCAACACTGTTTTAGGACGGTAATTTTATTTTCTAAATGTATTTTACTTACATTGCAATTAAAACTAATAACAATAATGAAACTAATAATGTGTGATCAAAACCGGAATAACTTAGAATTGTCAAACCACACTGTTACCCTAAATGTGTGATCTGTTGTTGCTCCACGTTCACCTCGGTGTTGGAAAACAGAGCAATTGCTTGGCAATAAAGAGGCTGCTGCCGCCTCTGTCGCAGTGTGGTCCGCGTACTGAATGACTTTGTTGGGTATTTCCCTCCGCCTCTGGATCTGGTTACGCGGTATTGATCGGTTTTTATCGAGACAGATGTGATTCTTCGTGGCCCCAGCCTCAGCTCCCGTGCTGGCTGTGTCGTGGAGGGCCGCACAGGGGATTGAATTGCACTTGTGAGACCACCCCGGATAGGCTTGGCTGGAACTGACTCTAGTTCTGCCTTGTAGGTCAAGATAAAATGGCTATCTGCCTATTTCAGAGCTGATTTGGCCCATTTAGGCACGGTGTTTTTCACATCTGAATTTCCTTTTGTGTTTTGGCTCATTCAAATATTTTCTCTTAGGCTATATGTGTGCACACATTTACAAAGAAATGTAAAAATAGCTTTGTTTCAGAAAGAATTTACGGGCAATAGGAAAATTCGGCATTTTAAAAGAAATAATTAAGTAAATTTGAAGACTGTTTTCCACATACCTGTTGATGGATGAAACGCTGGGGACAGTGTCGTTGTCGCAGACGGCCTCAGCCAGTAGTCTGTCCCTTATCTCCCAAGCGAACATGGTTGGATTCTGGCGCTTATATTCAGCAATTTTATCCACCACTTTCGGCGTTGCAACCTTTGGTTTGGAGCCACCAATGACTCCGGGTTTAATACTGCCGGTTTCATAGTACCTGCATGGGGACAGAGTGCGTGTTGCTGAATGGATCCCTCCTTACAGCAATTCAACAATCCAGTCAGTCGTCTGATTGATGGGAAAAGTGGCTTAAAAATAATTTGTGTGGAAACAAATCTCCGCCGACCTTCTGCAGTTACATGTGAAAAAAAAAAATTACCTACAAACATGATGTCGGCTTTAATCTATTAATTTGTCTGGAAGTGTGCTGTTACATGGCACTGAGTGTCAGCTGGAAGGTGTACGGAGCGTATTTTCAACGAAAAGCAGTGTAATTAAAATCACACAATATAAGCAGTGAGACGGACAGAACAAAGGACAGTTTAGCTGTAAAAGCACAGTTTAGACCTCATTTCCAGTCTCCATGAGCTTACAGTAGCATGCACGACATGCCACCATGACCTATTGGTAAATGTTGGTGACAAACATTCAGTGTGTGTGAAATGAAATACCTCTGAAATGCCTTCTGATAGCTGAAAAAAATATATTTCAAAATATTATCTCACAGCATTTGTGCTCTGAAGAAAAATGATGTAGACCTAATTTCTCAGGCTTAAAGTGGACTTTACACTGATGAAAAAATATAGGACCGTAAAGTATGTATTTATGGTATTTTTCTGATGGGATTATGAAAGCCAAATGTGAGTTTATAGTGGCCGTGGATGTGGTGTTTTTCTTAATCTGCGAGTAATCTTCCAATTTGTGTCTCTAGACTTGAAAAGTCAGTTTTCAAGTGACCTCTTGGTACTTTTTACACTTTCTTTATCACCTATAGTCGCCTATAATATTAATACAGCCTCATTTTCCTCTGGGTTATTTTTTTATCCTTAATGCTTAGCTGTGAACTCCTAAAATTTATTTCATGATTATGATGCTTTTCTCTTGCAAGGCTGAAGGTGATGGATAAAAAATCTCGGACGCAGAACTGCTGTGTTCAAGCGGGAAAAAAGAGAGAAGGAAAGAAAAAAATGGCCTGCCTATATAACCGATGACTGAGGCTGAAATAGAGCTGGGTGCGCATATCCGAGCTATAGAAGATTGATGTTTGACACACATAGGGCTCAGTTAGTAGTGGATCCCCCCTTTTACCTGCCGAGGATTTTGCTGACACAGCCGTGACTGACCCGTAGCTGTCTGGAGATGTCGCAGGGCCGGACGCCCTGGTGGGCCAACTCCACGATCCGCTGCCTCACCACGTCCGGGAGGGGTCTGCCGTTTACAAACACCCCGCCAAGCTGGTTCACACCGCCGTGCCCTGCGTGGGACACAACAGCAGCACAGGGGAGCATAACATTACATACCTGCAGACGACACGGTTTCTCTTCATGTGGATTCGTTTTGGCTTTTCTTTTCTTTTCTTTTCTGCAGGGTTATAATCTACGCATTTACCTTCTATTTTCAGTCTAAAAGCTCAAATCACATTACTGTTACACACACACACACACACACACACACACACACACACACACACACACACACACACACACACACACACACACACAATGTATAGCCTACACTCACAAGCACACACATTTTAATTTAAGCCAATAGTCTTTGTTGCTGCATGAATTCTGAAATCTATTTGATCAGTAGTGGAATTTTAAATAATAGGCTAATAATAATAATAATAATAATAATAATAATAATAATAATAATAATAATAGGCCTATAATGATATGAATTGTTGGGTTAAACATGATAGAAATTGTAGCGGTCTGATAGCAAAATTCAAGTAGGATTGCTGCAGTGTTGCTTTCTAATAGGATTTAAAAAATAAAATAAACAAAATTAAAAAAAATTAAGTATAAAAATAAAAACACTTCACTTGCTCTTTTGATACCCCAAAATAAAAATAAGACTCCTCTCTCCCTGTAACATTGGCCTAGTTAGACAATATTTTCCAAGAGCATCTGCACTGCAGCTTAACACATGTCGCAGATATTATGTTTCACCCTGTTTAATTTTCCTTGCACAATTATTGTAAATAATTAAAATGAGCTTTGATAACTCATATTACAAACGCGGATGGTGCGAATGAGGAGGAATCAATAATTTACACACAGTCCGGGTCTTCTTTACCCATATCGTATGGAGCAAAACATGAAGGAAATAAACAGTTAGCTTCATTTTTTTTTACCCTCAGTTTGTTTTTTATTCTGAACCACCTAAATCTAAAGTAAGAGGTGGTAAATAAAGAAACATGGTTACATCCATTTACACACAGCGTGCTCTTGTCTCTCGAAAGTGACAGTCATTTCACAGGTAATAAAAGCTTTGTATTTAAATTGGGGCGTTTCTATTTTGTCACTAAAAAGTAATTGTTGTTCAAACCAGCCGGCATTTATTCTATTTGATTAACCTCTGAGTCAGTTTTACACAGCTAACTCCCAAGAAAAATAAAAAAATAAAAACAAAATTCTTCAGTGACCCATGTGCTCTTAAAAATAACTCCAGAAATGTTCCTGTTTAAAAACATTTTAGCAGCCATTTATCATTGTTTTCTCTGGTGTCTCATTCTCGTTTCTATTATTACCTAAATTAATGCAAGTAAATCTATTTTCATATGACTCTTCTGGCAAAACTTTGCCAATGTTTTTTAAGTAATGTATTATGTCTTGAAAAAATAACTAAAGACACTAACATGTTTAATACTTGAGAGAGAGCTGTGCTTCATCTTCAGTAGCCTACAGTAATTAAACGGTGGCAAATAACGAGCCTTAGTGGGCTTAAAATGAAAAATAACATAGGCCTATAAGAGCACGTTTCAAAAATGTCCAACTGCGTGTTTTATATGAAAATTAAACCGCTGTTTTTGCAAACAACTTCGATGTAATTTGTGCAGTAATTAAAGTTAAAACACAGACATATTGTTGTATATAAACTTATTCAGTATACTCACGGTGCATCGCCGAGAAGGGGTCCGCTTTGCAGTGAATATCCATTGGATAGCAAAGGAAAGAAAGGTAATCGACTGAGGTCGCCGTTTCGCCTCTGTGATGCAGCTTTATAGGTAAAAAAAAAACAAACAAAAACAAGGACTTAGATTTTGGGGTAAAACAGTCCCTGTCGGAAGAGTCCGCAGGCTGCAGCAGCGCACAACTTCTTGGTTGCGATGCTAAGTTTTCCTTCTGTTCGAGTCTAAACTCAAAAGTCTGCTGAAGGGCTGTCAGGTGCAGAGCATGACCCACGCGTGTGCAGAGCGCACCAGTCGCAGCAACATTGACTCAAACCGGGTCACTGTTTGTGTTTAAAGGACATCATGAGGAAAAACAAAGGAGTAGCTGAGTGTCCTCGGGTCCGCTCGGAAAAATCCCACTCCTCTGACGGCGTGGAGGAACCGGCGGGCTCTGTGGTTTAATCAGATAGGGGCGGAGATGACAACAACATGGACACGGCGAAGTACAGAGCGGTGTGTCCCCCTCTCCTCCAGAATGGGCTGTGCCTGAACGAAGCTTTGGGCTGAGAATGAAAACCCTCTCCTTGTGTGTCTGTTTCTAAAAGCTGCAGTCCCACAGATCACCCCCCCCCCCCCCCCCCCGCCCCATTCCTCCCCTCCCTCCCTCTCCTACCTCCATCCCACAGATCCCTCGCATAGAGATGGATGACTTGTCAGACAAAGGCAATAGATTCCAACACTTTGTGATTCGCCCAAGTAAAAAACCTGCAGCTCAAATGAGGAGGTCCCTGCATCCGACAGCCAGGAAGGGGAGGGAGACGAAATGGGAAATGATGAGACTTTGGGGTGAAGAATCAAGGAAATTAAAGGCAGGGGGTAGAAGAGAGGTAAAGCACTGTCAGGCTGGTGTGTGTTGTTTAAAGCGACGCTTCTCAAATGTTTTCATATGAAGGAGAACTCCCAGCAGAAACACATGATGGCACTGAGACTCAGGAATGGCCACATGGGAAGATTATTGTTGTTGGCACCACAGCCTAAAACATTTGAAACAATCATAATTCTACATTTTCTTGTAGATTAAATAATAAAATCGAACTACTTCCCGTTGTGCTGCGGACCTCTGGAAGCTCCTAAACATCTCTGGTGGCCCAGCGTTGTGAGGCTCGGGTTCAAAGTCTTAAAATCTCCATAAACAATGCAAATATGAAACAAAATTAAGATACGTTTTTGCAATAAACTCTTTTCTGTTTTGGAAAATGGTATGTGTTTTTGTCACCCCAAGCTTCTCCTTGCTTTGTCCAGCTTCCTGTTCTTAAATCAATCAGGGAAACAAAGAAATGCAAAAGTCTTTGCATGTTGCATTTATCAGGTTCGATGCAAAAAAAAAACAACAATTTACTAAAAAGCTGCCGTGCTTCATGTCCTGGCTGTAGCTGTGTGTGGTGAGGTGTGCAAGGTGAGCTCGCAACCTGCAGAGGCAGAGTCAGTCAGTAGGCCATCATCACCATCCCCGTCCACTCACCGCCCGTGTGCCGCATCGCTCTGTAGATGGCGCTCATACAGTAGGTTGCACAGGCCGCTGTGCTCACGCGGGCGGGCATGCATGCAGGTAGAATGATGCTGTCGGGGCTGGCTGGGTCAAAGGTTGAGGCTGTAGCTGAATTCTGCACTCTTAATCTCTTCCGGTAGAACTCAACCCAAAAGGAAACAGAGAGAAAAACATTCAAAATTAAAATTTCTTTGCAGGCTAATTTTTTTAAAGTTGCCATTCACTGTAATGGTATGTGGCGTGATAACATTAACTTCCGCATGACTGACATAAAGTAGCTGCGTTTTTTTCCAGTATTATAGTCTCAGAATTATTTCTATGTAGGCCTACTGATGATTTTAGCACAGTGTGTGTGTGTGTGTGTGTGTGTGTGTACAGTGTGGAGTGTTTTACTGTGGCAGTTAGAAGTTATCTAGCGTAATGTATAAAACTGTAATCTCCTTTAATTTAGGCCTATTGGATTTATGTATTTGTTGTTGGAAAACAGCAAACAGAATATAATAATAATAATAATAATAATAATAATAATAATAATAATCTGTTATTAACAGGCACTGTGGACTGTATTGTGTCCAGCTGCCCTGTGGACAAGTTTGAGGACGATTCCTCTTTTTGTTTCTGCTTTTTTTAGGGAGGGAGCTTCTGGTACAATATGTAGCACCATGGGCTGTAATTTCACACGTCAGTGCACTTTTGCCCTAAAGCTGCTGCTATTTCCCCCACAACACCCCGATTTGCCCCCCGTACCTCTCTGCACTGCAACGCTGACGTCCCCGTGTCACAGAACTAGAGAAAAACAAACGGCATGATAATTAAGAAACTGTTGGTCCTGACTTCACCCCTTTAAAAAAACCCAGCCACCAAGGACCTAATGCGATTATTGTTTTCGATTTTTGTGCCTGCATTATACAATGAAGAGCCTCGGTACAGTTATCACACAGTGGAACAGTTGATTTTAATATATTTCAGACACTTAAAATAATTACAAAAACGTTCCAGCTTTCTACACAGTGTCTTTTTTTAATTGCTATCAGCAGAGGTAAAATTCTAGGCTTGTGTTCTGACTCATGTTTCCTTAAAAAATACACTATTATCATTATTAAGTGATAAAAAGTTACTAATAATTTTAATACTAACTCTGCTGTTATTGGTATTTTAATAATAACAACATTGAAGTGGAAAGGCAGAGGAGACAGAGAGGGGGGCGGGGGTTGGGGACAAATCCTTTTCTTCCGTTGTTTTAAACATATGGCCTGTAAAGCGCGTCCACGTCAACAATCGATATTTCTGTTTTTAATCTTCCTGTTGTGTCTCTACTGCGTGTCTGAGACTATGCAGGGGTTCCCAAACGCTTTCACGTCAGGGACCTTAGATCACCTACCTTCACTAAATAAAAAATAATTGGAGATTTATCTAATCTGAATGTAAATATATGTATGTAGACGTGAAATTTGAAATTTAGTAGAAGTTCAGAAGTTTTCATTTTTAATAGCGACTAGGCATATATTTGAAGACCCCTACTTTCCCTAGACCCCAGCATGGGAGCCACTGCTCCAGCTGCACAAGTTCAGAGTTTGACTTTGTGTGCGTAAAGCTTGTTAACTGAAGTTTAGTCACGTACAAACATTTGTAAAAAACGTTGGATTATTGATGAGTCATTTTAATGATTAATTGATTTATCTTCATTAGTGTGAGCCCTTTAAAATGTAAGCAGCATCTGTAGCCTACTATTCAGATGCACAGAAGTCATTGAGGACACCCAGGTGTCAGTGAAGTAAACACTAAGAAAGCTCACCTACTGTGTGCGATGCATCTAATACTTTCTCTCGCAGCTCTTACATGTGATATATTTAACTGATCATTTTACAAAACTATCAACACATATAGGCTTATATGTAATTCCTTTAGATATATATTGTTCCCTATTAGCCAAAACATCCTCCTTATATCGGGAGTCACTTGTAATAACCCACAATGATTTGGTGTCTCCTGACACCCAAAGCCATATGGGTAGTGTATGCCAAACTGCAGGATATCAGCTGCGTCCTTACATTGCTTATTCATGTGCTTTATAACGGGAGCAGATGGATATCAATTTGACTCTATCCTCGACACCATCACAGATTGATTTTGTACTTGCTTTTAATTTTGCCATAATTAATTAGATCATTACAACTGTTTTCCATTGATCTTTTCATCTAAATCCAAAATTGGGGGGTGAATTAGATTGTGATCTATGTTTTCAATTACAGCCACCAGCATATAGGTGATGTTAATAGGTTATTAAGCAATTATTTGCAACAGTAATAATAATAATAATAATAATAATAATTATAACAATAATAATAATACACCACATCAAAATATACTTTCTCGATCCTAATTATTGACATTAAACAATAACAAAAAAAGCAGTGTAAATACAAGAAGTTATTGCACAATAGAAAAAGAAAGGAAAAAGGAAAAGCACACTATGCTTTGTTTGATCTTTCAAAAAATAAAAATAAAATAAAACTCCAGACAGGCTATATAAGCAGGGAGATGCAGCCTCCTCACAGTTTTGTCCCACGCAGTGCAACCAACATACCTGCAAACAAACGCTGACATTAGTATGAGGCAGAGGGAGAGATCCTTACCTGATCGACCAGCGCTGTGAGGCATGGCTCTCCCTTGTCTAATGGTGCGTCTCCCCGATGCAGCCCAATAGATCTGTCCGGCCTCCTGCGCTCCCTCCCCGGCTGGACGTGGTGCCTCTCCCTGCTGGTTGTCAGAATCTTTGACCGATCATCCAAAACTAAACGGTTTGGGCGACAACAAAAAGCGGAAGCAACCCTGCTCCAATGAACTAGGAATTGATAAAGAAAAAGAAATCAAAGAACACAGAGCGTTGCAGGTGCTGAATTAAAAGGAACTGTAAAACTTGCCTATATTGGTGTTTAAAACGGGATTTTAGTAAGAAAACCGATGGAGCTCCCAGTGTTTGACACACAACGGTGGACTTACATTTAAAATATATATATATCTGGCACTCACTGGTATGTATTATATTTATTTTTCAAACTTGGAATCGTATAGCTTACATATTATTTTCTTTAAAAACATTTAAAGTGTATTTATGGGAAATGTGGTGGTTTGGTTTGTGGTTGGGTATAGCTTTGTCAGTCTGTTCAGTGTTCAGCTTAAACTCAGTGTGAAATTATTAAAATGTTGTGAAATTATTTATGACAATTTCTGCAACAGACGTAATGCATGAATGGAAATTATTAGCAGACGGATGTCATGAAGTTTAGATGCCCCAAAACGTCCCATCCTCCTGAACACTGACTTTGGCAGGAAAAAAAATCGATACAAAGATATAGCAAAACGTGATTAATTTATTAGTAATGTTCACTAAGCTATGACATGTTCCTGTGCAGGTTTATAACAACACTGCTGGTAAAGGTTTACACATTTACAATGAGTCTCTCTCTCTTTCACACACACACACACACACACACACACACACACACACACACACACACACACACACACACACACACACACACACACACACAGACACACACAGCAGGTAGGGGTGTGTGTTTGTAAGTAGCAAAAGGCATACACAATACAATAGTGTCAATTCAGAATCCAATTAATCCTTTGTTTTCAAGTAAATTTTGGCATTTAATGGTCCGGTCAGTTATTTTGAGGTTTTACAGTTTTATAGCTTTATTTTTAATTTTTTCTTATCAGACATGGGTTTGACACCTTGGCTCTGAAAAAGTTATCTGAAGTGCTGTTCTCGAGAGATTTAGTCCAGTCAGATATCCCACAGATACATAAACTTCACAGAGGAAACTTTCTCTGTGTGTTTAACAGTGTGAGGGAATACAAAAAAAGTATAAGGGAGAGTAGTAAACTTAGTAACTGGAACATTAACAGATGACTAACCAGTAAAAATGCAATATTACAATATCCACAAGAACGACAGAGCGTGGTAAGGCTATAAA